TTATTATAGTAAGAGTTCACCAGCTTCTTTTAAGTTTGACTTATTACGTGATTCTTAATTACAAGTGATTCTGCATCATTATTATAATTAAATCCTGTTTGTGCCCATAACTGCAATAACTACAGTCCACTATGTTTTAATGATGCAAACATCTACAAACTTTAAATAAACTAGTTTTAGGGGTCTTTAAGGGTGTAAAGTCAAACATCAAACAGAAAATAAATGATAAAAATAATAATAATGAACAAGACTGGATCACCATGAGCTGCAGGAACATTCATGACAATTTTACAGTAACTGTAAAGTCTATAGATCGTTGTTGTTATTACTAATTAAATTTGGGAGTCAACCAATTCAAGCTGGTCACTACTGCTAATTAAACTTAACACATAAATGGCTATGACTCAGTCATTTTTTAAAATCTATTAGTAAAATTTGGTGTGGTAGTTGAAAGTAATCTCTAACACATACTAATGGCACTAATGGATCACACAATATTTTTTGTTTTAAAGTTTAGCATGCAAGGCAGCAGGGGATGCATTCCTTAAAGGATTGTTACCATGGCCAGGTCCATTGATTCACAATGAAGAAAGCAGAACTGTGAGTCCGACAGGTTCGTCCTCTACAGAAACCAAACTTCATCCAATCAGTCTGATGTTGCAGTCTTTAAAAGTTGAGTTTTGATGCTGGAAATTTCTGACAGAAAAAAAACAGGACCTGGTTCTACAAGCTTGGAGCCAACTAAACCTGATTTTGTCCATGTGCTGGTGTCATTCCATCATGTTTCTGTGATCACAAAAAACTGCAAGGAATGATTGCAGCCCAGTTGTATACTGTAAAGAACTGCCGGGGACTCTGGAGACTGCAGAGATGAAAGTTTCCACATGACTCAAAGGCGCCTGTATGAAATGACTGATCATAATCCCCATTTTATCCTTTGATTCTGACCCCCCTGATCCTCTAGTCCGCTGTGACGTCATTGGCTGATGGGGTGATTGCACAGAACATCATGAGAACAGGTGTTTAGTGAAGAGCTTAATGAGTGCATTTAAATAGATTTCTGACAGAAAGGTCAAGACTGACAACATGAAAACCGTCACTATAAAGTTCCCTCATGTTTTAATGAAATTAGCACGTAGGGCCTGGAGAAAAGAACTTCATTACTCCGGTTTAAAGTATTAGTGAGAAACTGTAAATGACGCTGCTGAAGGCTAATGGTTTCATATGTAACTTATTGATTATGTGTGAAATCTCATCCAGCCAGGATGGCTCTGAGGGGTGTAGCTCTGTGTTCATAGCAGGATCTCTTCTCCAGGCAAGGGTCTTATCACAGAACCTGCTCAGCTTGGTCCGAGACTAAAAAAAAAGCCCAGAAATGGGACTGCACATTAAAAATTCATGATAAAAACACCGAAACACCCCCGTTTTCCATGCTGCTGATAGACGCAAGGTCAAAAACATGATGCACAATGATCTGATGGTTAGTGGGCCAACACACACTCAGTGCGGCAAAAAGGTCACAAGTTTAAATTCAGTTTGTGACATTTATTGAATGTCACATCATCTTTTCAGTTATTGTGCTGCATGTTATTCAGTAAAACAAAGTATTGTTCAAATACTGACGATAGTGAACTCTCTGTTCCCTGTAAACCAACAGAGAATAACAATCACTGACAGTTGTTTTGCCACTTTTATTTGTTTTAATTTACCAGTAAATGACGTAAAATCTTCACCTGTAAAAGTCATAAATCCAATAATGTTCTCAGTTAACTGAGAATCTATACATGCACTGTGCCCAGGTGCCTGCTTTAAGATTTAATGCAAGAAGCTTTGTTACAGTAAACAAAAGTAATCTACCAAACACACATCCCCTTGCTTTTTGAGCTAAGTACGTATTCTTTGAGAAGTTTAATTCAGGAATTGGAGCTATATCACAGAAACAGCACAGTTTAAAGTTATATTCTCACACAGTGGACTTGTGTCCATACTTGTTTTGTTAGATCTCAATGCTGCATTTGATACAACTGATCACAATATTCTATTGCAGAGGATTGAGACGAATATTCATGTTTATGTTAATCATGGATTTTTTTTGCATATTCTTTATCTAGTCCGGGAGTTCCTCAAGGTTCAGTGCATGGACCAGTACTCTTTACTTTATATTTGGTTTCATTAGATTAAGTTATTAGACAGCATGAAATAAATTTTCATGGTTATGCAGATTATCTTTGCTCCACCCTCCTCCTTCTCCCGTGTGCCCAAAATGCGTGACTACTGTCCACAACCAGGCAAAGAAGAAAAGAGGAGGAGAGGAGGGAAACAGCAAGAAAATGGTTGATAAATAACTTGTGTTGCAGAAAGAGAGTATCTTCAGTTGACCATGGTTTGCTGATCAATAAGCAGCATTTGTACATTTTAACATCAGCTGAGCTGCGATGAAAAGAAAAAAAATACAGTCAAATACTGTGATACTGGAATATTTGATGAAAACACCGTGATATAAAATTTGGGTCATACTGCCCAGCATACCAACCAGTTACTTAAATCAGTGATTCCCAACCAGGGGTACGTATACCACTTGGGGTATGTGAGCATACTATAGGGGATACGTGGAAAATTTTCTTGGTGTGTAAAAAAAAATAAAATAAAATATGACTGAGATATGTAGGGCCCTATGATTTCCGCAATGCGGACATTGCAGTCAGAATCACGAAATTTACACACAATGGAATCCAGTACAAAACGCGGAATCTCAAGGAATTTGCTCGTTTGGGTGAGTTTCTGACATATTTTAGACAATACAGTGTATTTTGGATGCTGCTGTTTTCTGCACCTGCTATTACTTGGTTTATTTATTTAACTACTTATTCACTTTCAAGGCAACACTTTTGTCTTTATGCTTAATTTGAGTTGAAAAAAAAATAAAATCCCTGAGAATTAAACATTCTAGGGGGTTAAATAAATAATTTTCATTTAATAATCAGTTGTTGTACATTATACTTTTAGAAAATCATCATTACGTTTTACTGAAGGGGTACTAGTGGTATGACAAAATGGCTCAGAGGGTACACAAGTCTAAAAAGGTTGAGAACCACTGACTTGGATCACAAGAATTTCTTAAAGACAAAAAATCTATAAAACTTATATTTTTACTTTTTTACATGAAATGTATAGATTTCTGAAGGTCAGTACACAGGTAAACATCCAAAGGACTCGACGTGTAGTATTAGTTTGCCCTCCAGGTCTAATGTAAAGAACTTGGTGTTATTTTTGATCAGGATATGTCTTTTTACCCCTCATTTTTCATTTTTTACCAGGATGGCTTTCTTGCACCTGCAGGCTGTAGCTTGGCTCAGTAATGTATAGTAAACCTGTAATTTTTCTATTATCATTTGAAAAGTTATGACCACAGCATGGAGAAATGACCTTGCATATCTGAGACATGAGACATCAGGTGAACATTTCAACACATGAGACGGTACAAAGTAAGAGAAGGTTGTAGGCGTCTTACCTAAATCCAGCAGGTCCACAGCCGGCTCTGGGTTTTTCTTGGGACTGGTTCTGCTGGATGACTGCTGAGAAAAACAAAGACAAAAAAAAGAAAGAAATATTAAAGCTTTTGAACCAGGCTTTTAGGTGGTTTTTACCAGTGACGTGTAGTTTGGTACAGTGTGATACAAATAGTTAACAGGATTATATGGTACATTTGGATACAGCTGCAGGCATTCATGAGTTTTATCCCATTAAAACAGAAAACATTTTCATCAGACAGACTTCTTAGTTATTCAGGATAAAGTGAGTGCAGCCTGACCCCTGATCCAAAGACCTGACTCTTATACCCATCTTAAATAATGTCGTATATTCATTCTGACTGGCTCTGGTGGAAAGTACTTTTACTTTTAATAATAAATACTATGCTCATATTCCTGTAGCATTCATTAATTATTTTGGCTCTCATTAACCTCGGTTCAATGTTTTGATGTTTACAGAGATATATTTTTTTTTATAAAGAAACAACTTTTTTGGACTATTTATCATCCTTCTGTGTCTTTATTTATGCTACCTTCTCCTGTCTAGATGGTGGTACACCCTGCACACTAGTGCCAGGGTAACATAAATACCATCAATAAAAAAACTGAAGGTAAAAAAAAAGGATTAGGAGGTAAAAAGAGGCGGACAGGAAAGGATTGAGACGGAGTGAGAATGGAAAGAAAAACATTGCGGGGGAGGGAAATGGAATAAAAGGTTAACACGTGGGCCACGAGGGATCTACAAGCTGGTAACAAACCCAATTTCCCTCCCAACAAAAGATCGATGGAGCGCATTAGATTCACGGTTGTTTCAATCCGAGCCAATGAAAACAATTACCAAGTCCATGCCTAATAAAGAATGCGCTGCAGTGGACTGGTGTGTGTTGGGTCTGCAGCAAAGCTCCAGCAGCAGCAGGAAGGTCATTATGTTCAGCTCAGTCACAAAAAAAAAACATGGAGACACATCAGAGTTTAAAACGAAAGGAAAGAGCAAACAAAAGCACACCAGTACAAGATTTTTAATTAAATATTTTTTTAATGAATTAAAATATTCAAACAGACAGAAATGTTTGAGATCATCAGAAGTAAATACTGTATTAGGTCCTAAAACCAGGAGTCTGTTTTAATGAGTTCACCTAAAACAACACACAGCTTAACTCAGTAATTTTTTTCATTCTAAAGAAATTACTGATAAATAAGCTTCATCATAACCAGGTTTTATATTTAAAAAAACAAAAAAGATGTTTCTTATAATTATCATATTTTTAAGAGTATTTTCAAATGACTTGCCAACAAAGTCATTATTTTAATAGTTCACATTGAATTATTATGTTGCATTCAAATTAAAAAAACGTTGAGACACTGACGCGCACACACACACACACACACACACACACACACACACACACACACACACACACAC